TCGTGTGTCTTGTTACGGTGTCCCGTGGAAAGTTTGACGAAGCGAAAAATCGGCCGGGCGAAAATAAGCAAAGAGTTATGTTACCAAGGTTCACGAAATCGATTACGAATCAAATAGGTGATAGATGGTTAGCAGGCGAATTGGCGGCCTTGCCAATGTCGGTCCTGGATCGACGCGGTGCCACCCACCGCGGCGTTTCAAAATGGCGAAACGGGATTACGCATCAAGTCAAAACACTGAGATCACATTCCAGGGAATCTGGGGATTTTTCTGGTAATTAACGTATCATTCGAACTTAATCTTCCATAAATCAACTTACTTTCTCATACTCCATACGCAAACTTTTAAGCTTGTATGTCCAAGTCTGATTTTTTAAAAATGTGAAAATATTCTGGGATATTTATTAAAGTCTGTACCATGTTATACAATTATTCGTTAAGTCAAATGTTTGGAAATTTTTCAATAAAAACGAAAAGTTCATTTCGAAGAAGTATAAGAGTGAAATTTCATTTGGATCGTTAATGATCCAGATTGCCTGCGGAAGGTTAATTTTTTTTTTTTGAACAGAAAGAAAATAAGAAATAGTGCAATTAGGAGTGTATCTTAAAAAAGACGAGATTATTCCTCGTTTTTTTGAACGATTAAGTTAAGTTAACATTGCACTCACACTGTTTGGACTGTTGAGACTTGTTCTAATGGACTTTTTTGTTCATTTTTGCAAATTGTAGAACATTGACAAATTTTATTTTATTTTCACATTTATGCACTTATTTCAACGTTTCTCAAACCGCTACATTCCTTCAGAGAAGAATTCAATTGGCAGGTCTTGAAAATATTTCATTCCAATAAACAGTTTATCCAAAAATTTGAGAAATCAATGTTGTTACAACCAAATTATCCTTATAGTAGAACACTCAGTTTCTTCTTAAATTCGTTCATCTCCATAAAACTTAAAAGTTCAAGTTTTTTAATTGTAATTCTCATAATTACACATTACTGATATTCTCAACGATCTCTTCTTTCTGACGCATCTTTTCATTTTCCACATATTCCAGCAGTTAGCAATTAAACCTTTGAACTACATATTTCCAATCTCTCACGAAACAAACAGCCTCTTTTCCAAATTTTTCAACCGACAACAAAAATACCGCGAAACAGCGAAGACCTTCGAGAAAGAAACATACCGCGAAGTTTAATCAGCACGTTTCCCTCCTACGCCGACGAAATAGATTCCAAGCTTTTGCGGAAACACAGAAAATTCGATATCCCGGTACTCGAAGCGCAGTTTCTCCAGTTTAAAAATATGCGCTCGCCGAATTTCTTCCGTCTTACGTTACGCCAGTGATGCAACCAAGCGGCGTTGACATAGGGAAATCATCGAGACATAGAAGAAACCATGTGTCGCGGTTGCATCGGGTATCAGCGGTGTTTTATCGCTGATCTGGCGATTTTCCGCGCGCACGTGGACGCGAATCCTCGAGAATGAAATTCGAAGGACCTTGGATCGCGCGAAAACGTGCATCGATCATGCTGCGACTGCGTTTAAGCGTTCCATTGATACCGGAAACTAGTGGACGAAGTTCATATGCTTGGTCTTTCTTCGTGCTCGATCGAAGATACGGACTTTTTTCGAGAAATTCAGAGATTGGAACAATAAGTCTTGGTGGATCGTGTTGTTCGTGAATGAGACGTCATGTCGGGGACTCTGTGTCATTGGTCAAGATGGCGACGAGCCTCTGACGAGCCCCTGTACTTCTCAAGTTCGTTTATTTGGGGATAGGTTGAAATTCGGTGTACTGCAGGTTGTCGTTTTTGGGATTTCTGCTCTCGCGAGATCAATTTTGATCGATAATCAGAAGTTTGTCGAAAGAGATTTAAATTTCGAGAGGAGAATCATACGCGAAACAAAGATTTTGAGATCTTTGACGCTTCTGAGATCAATTTTGATAAATAATCAGATGTTTGTCGAAGGAGAATTGAAAGGAACGCAAAAACAATTGTACACGGCTTAAAGCAAAAAATCTCGATTGATAATTTGTGATTTAACCCTTTCTTGACCAGTAAAAAATTGATCTCCAAATAGATAGGCAATAAATACTGAGGAAAAAAAAACTAATTCGATCACGAAAGGGTCAAATTTAATTTGAAAGGAATTTTATTGGAGGAAAGTAAAATGCTTCTCTGTATATATTGATTAGAGCCATGATGAATCATGGGTGATAATAATATGAAACGTTATATGTAAATTCTCAGTCGGGCAATTTATGAGCGACGGTATCTTCTACGCTCAGCACTAGAGGGACTAAACGGTTAAATATCCTTTCCAGCAAGTTCTAAACTTCTATTCTAGGAAATGCAACGGGTCCACTAGGAGACCCTCAGGATGAAATGAATTTTCTCTTTCAGCTTCATCGTCCATTCTCTCCTGCTCTTCGCAGTAAATAACCATTTGAAAAATAATTACATGAAATGTGCAGTTAAAAATGAAGAGAACGTGATATTTTTTGCAAATTTTATCGATTCCACTTTCGATGGACTTCGATTAAGATAAATTTTCAATTTGACAATTTATTCTCAAAAACTAATATATCTCCAGAACTGATTCTACGAGAACTTGATGATTTAAAAAAAATTTCCAACGTTGTGAAATTTAATTAGAAATAAAGAAAGCCTAATAATTCGAAAAGAAGAAAACTATGAAACTTTTCTCGACTATATTATGCATAAAGTAACAATATATTTTAATTAACGATAAAACAAGATTCTGATTTATAAAATTCTAAGCTCTAAATAAAAGAAGACACATGCATATGTACACGTGTTAATAAGAAGAAGAAAATTAACGAATCTAGCTGATTTCTGTTTACTACATCGATAATGTAGTGACCCACGAAATAACCTCGACATATTTTCTGTATTCTCTAAAAACATCAAATTTTAACATTCGTTAAAAAAAATTGAAAAGAAAAGAAGCAACGCTTCTATTTTAACTATGGGCACCTAAGTTCGCCTAGCTCGATAACCATAAACTCTAAAGTACAGTTAAGGTTACTGGGTCTAGAGCAGTCTCGAATAACAATTCTAACAAGATCGTTACAATCTTCCGTTTCTTTAAGTTCGATCCAAGAAGGAAAGCTGCGTTTGATGTTTCACGAATGCTCTACTAACGTCGTGATTCTTCAATCAGTGCGGCAAATGATTGATTGAAACGTACGTCGGGAAATCCCATGGAATAATATCGATATCTGATTTTGATCGGTATAAATTAAAAGTGAACTGAAAGCCGTGGGAATGGAAAATTATTCTACCGAGAGTAGTGATTAGGGAGAAGTGAGTTTTTAATAGAGAAATATTCATATTGGGGAGATAAGAATGGTGCTAAATATGAAATTTTTGAGAAATAAAATAATTGGACAAATTGTTGAAAAATACAATAATTAGACGAAGGTTAAGTGTGAAATTTTGGGAAATTTAGATAACTGGGCAAATGTTGAATATGAAACTTTTGAAAATAATTAATATGGAATTTTTGAAATATGAAATTTGTGAAAATAAAGTAACTGGACAAGCGTTAAATATGAAATCTTTGAAACACGAAACGGTATAAAATTTTGGAAAAATAAAACAAAGTGAAACTCTTGAAAAGTAAAATAACCGGAGAAAGGTTGACTGTGATATTTTTGCAAAATAAAACAATTGGACAAACTTTATTATTTCTGTGAAATTTTTGCAAAATAAGATAACTGGACAAACTGTACCGAAAACAATCAAACCGACGGACAACCGTCCGTTTCAGGTAACAATAGAAGTCGGACGATATTTGAATAATCTATCAATTTAACGAAATATAAGAAGAAAATATTTTTGCGGCATAACATTCAGCCACGTGACTGAACCACTACAACGTCCAATATAATACGAGTCGATAATTCTACAGACGTAACGATCATTCGTTTCGACAATAAGAATTTTCACGAAAGTTTTAACGTAGAATGGCTACTCAGGCGATAACACAAGGATAAGAAAAATGATTGTCAACAATTTCACAATTTTCGCAAACAACATTCGTTTGATTTATCAATTACGTCAAAGTGCAACTAACAAAGAGTGTTGATAATTACAATTCTTGCAATTTCCCAAAAAAGAATACGTTAAATATGCATATTTAAATAACAAAAGTTTCTCAGGATTGTAGAAAAATTTGATCTCCACAATTCTGCTTAACGAAAATCGCAAAATTCCGAATTTCACCCATCACCCATCCATAATCAATATTAACACCAAAAAAATGCAAGATAAAATTATGAAAATCTTTCAATTGTCAAACTTGGGCTTCCAAAAGTTTTCTCTTCGATTCTGCATAGCAAAAATCGCAAACTTCCAAATCACTTCACCATGATCAATAGACATTAACACCAAAAAAAAACAAAAAACGAAACAAAAATATAAAAATCTTTCAATTCTGAAACTCGCGCCTCCAAAAATTGCATCTCCCCAATTCCACAGAGCAAAAATCGCAAACTTTCAAATTTCACTATTCCACCAATCCACAAACAAAATAATCCCTTCGCCGTAGTCAATCTAACACCAAAAAAGAACTTTCAAATTTCACTATTCCACCCATCCAGAAACACCAAAAGAGAAAAAAGAAAAGACACAAATGTGAAAATCTTGCAATTCTGAAACTCGCGCCTCCAAAAATTGCATCTCCCCAATTCCACAGAGCAAAAATCGCCAACTTTCAAATTTCACTATTCCACCAATCCACAAACAAAATAATCCCTTCGCCGTAGTCAATCTCAACAGCGGAAAAAAAAAGCGGAGAAAAGTATGAAAATTTTTCAATTCTCAAAGTTGCGTCTCCGAATAACCCCCCTCCTATTAGCGTAACAATGAGAACGTAGATGTCCCCACCCGCGTTCAGACCAGCTACTAGCTCAGCCTATATAAACTGCCGGCATCTCGAAAGTCTTCTCATTCTATACGAGGCGTCAGTCTATGTATAAAGTCGGAAGCACCCACGGGATACGCGTTGATACACGGTACATATCACTCTAAACAACGAAACGCGAGAGTAAACGCATGCATTCGTTTGAAAATCCTCTAGCGCTGTAACTTGGCCAAAAACCGTCGCTGATCATCCTTTCATCACACCGAGCGTTCCCTCCTCTCGAGCAACCACAATACAGCTACAGGATCATCCTTCCACTCTCTAACAGAATTTTATAGTTAGGTTCAAGTGTCTTTTCACGCGGTTATAAATCCCGCTTTTCTTCTCTTTTTTCTTCATTTTTAGTTTTGTACTTTGTTTCTCGTAACATTCACACATCGTCGTCATCATCATTTCCGAAGACGTTCCAACCGAATCATCCTACAGTCACCGATACAAACGAACGTTTTCGTTTTTGACTAACACGCAAAGAAACGAACAAAAAATAACAGAAATCTGTTGATCAATCTTAGGAGGAACAGAGAAGAAAGGATCGATCCAAGGGAAGAACTCGACAAGATCGTCATCCACCTGTTCTCAACAAACAACCCAGAGGCTTTCGTGTTCTCTTTACCGAACAAACGAAGATGAAACACGTAATTTTAGTGACTCTGTTGGGGGTGTTGTTCGTCGTCGACTTATCGTTCAGCGCAGCGGTGAAATCTGAGGTAAGACACATTTATCTGAATTATATTGTAATTGTTGTGCTTGTTCGAATGGGGGATGATCGACGATTGTCAGAGTGGATTCTTGAAAAGATCAGATCGCCGGTTCGAGTGCAATACAGAGATGGCTTTTTGTCTCTTCGTCTGCACGAGTGTTTCTTATTCTACTGGAGAAATTACGTTGCTCCGTGATTTCCGAGATCCTGCTTGTTTGCAGGATCTTTCTCCGGTGATTTCGCTTGTTACTTGGCTCGAATCGACGATCGTACCGATGTCGAGGATACTTCGAATTATTTTTATCGGAAATTTCGTTGGAAAATCTTTGCGGATTTTCTCCAAGTGTAATTGGAATTCTAAGATGTTTTTGCGTGTGCTACAATTGTTTTTTCGTTTATCGCGAAGTGAAGTATGTGGTTTGAGTTCGGAGCGAAAATGAAAGCAACGATTTCTGAAAGAAAATTCTTCGTAAATTTTACGAAAAATGTTCGTTCTCGTTTTCTCGAGAAACGAACAGCAGAATCGATGTGTTTTTTTTTTTTTCGTTGTTCGAGAATCAAACTCGGATATGATTCTTTTCGAAATGCGAAATCGATAGCATTGACCCTAACTGCGTTGATGATTTCGTGCGTAATACGTGAAAGATAATCAGGAAAGAATTTTTGCCGTCTTTCGATGTTATTGCCTTCGTGGATATTCTTCGTACGTTGCCTCGCTGTTATTACAGATCCGTGGAAAATCATGACGTTGAAACGAGTTTGAAAGGGTCGAGCTTCGACGTTGAGTAGTAATTTTACGGGTGAAAAATTGAACAAATTTCCCTAACGGTTGCAGAATTTTTTCAGAACTTGAATTTCTTTAATTTGGAAAAAATACAGTAGGCTATTGGAAAAGTTTCAGGATAAATATCGAATGAAATTTATTTCGGTGGCCTTTAACCCTTGTGCGGGTGAAATGTTGGGTTCCTTCGAGCTTTGATATTTGAAATTTTGTGTTTTCGAATGATACGTCGAGAAAAAAGGGGGAATCCGGAGTGGTTTTACTGTACTTTCGTAAGAACGTGAAAAGTGGTTAAAGGAAATATAGAAATGGGTAATCCGGTTGGCCACACAAGGGTCAAAATAATCCCCGTTGCTTGCTATTCGCTGGAATTCTGGATTTTTGGATTTCTGAAACTGTGGAGTTCTGGATTTCTGAAACTCTGGATTTCTAGATTTTTAGATTTCTGAAACTCCGGAGTTCCAGATTTCTGAAACTCTGGAGGTCTAAATTTCTGAAACTCTGGATTTATGAAACTCTGGAGTTCCAGATTTCTGAAACGTTGGATTTCTAGATTTTTAGACTTCTGAAACTCTGGATTTCTAGATTTCTGGAACTTCGGAATTCTAGATTTCTGAAACTCTGGAGTTCTGGATTTCTGGATCTCTGGAGTTCTAGATTTCTGGAACTCTGGAATTCCAGATTTCTGAAACTCTGGAAATCTGGATTTCTGAAGCTCTGGATTTCTAGATTTCCGAAACTCTGGAATTCCAGATTTCCGAAACTCTGGATTTCTAGATTTCCGAAACTCTGAAGTTCCAGATTTCTGAAACTTTGGATTTCTAGATTTCTGAAACTCTGGAATTCTGGATTTCTGAAACTCTGTAGTTCCAGATTTCTGAAACTCTGTAGTTCCAGATTTCTGAAACTCTGTAGTTCCAGATTTCTGAAACTCTGTAGTTCCAGATTTCTGAAACTCTGGATTTCTAGATTTCTGAAACTCTGAATTTCTAAATTTGCGGACTTCCGGAACCCTGGATTTCTACCTTTAATCTCGTTTCCATTTTCAAATGGTGTACTTTCTCGTGCAAAAAGATGGAGACCTTTTGGTGAACGTTCGAACGGTTATGTTTTGTGCAGGAATTCGCCGAACAATTACGGAAAATTGTTCACAGTATGCATCCTGACAGTCAGAGGACGCAAAGAGCCACCGAAAGTGGAAATTACGACAGTCCGAACCGCATCTGCTACGGGATACCTTGCGGATGGTACCCCTATGATCCTACCACTCGACGAGGATTAACTTTCATGGCGAACACGTAAGTTACAATTACACCTCGACTTACTTAATTACACCTAACATAACCATTCGGTTCGCCGATAAAGTAATGTCGTTTTTCGCAGTAGCTCGCGCTCTTTCGTTTCTCAGCGACACAATAGTGTTATTAACCTCGCGAATACAATCGTACGCTAATTGTTCACACTTCGGAAAGTTATTTCCAAAGAATTATTACACTTGGATTGAATTTTCTTCGATTAATCCTATTGTAAAAATGAGTGACGAAAAGGCGTATTATCGAGCAATTGTGCTGTTTTATTTCCAAAAAGGGTGAAACGCCACTCAAACGACAGAAAAGATCGCTAATGTGTATGGTGGTGGTGCTGTGAATCTGAGAGAAAAAAATTAAATAAATAAGAAAATATTGCGAATATTGAAGAGAAACGGCCAGAATTTGCCATCACGACAATGCCAGGCCACACGTCTCGTCGCACACTCGTCAAAAATTGAGGGTGTTCTAACACCCTCGGATTACCATTTGTTTAGATCCTTACAAAATTCGCTGAATGGTAAAAATTTTCACGCTTTGGAAAGAAACGACGAGTTCCGGAAGTAGGGAATTATACAGTTGCCCGCTCGATGGAAAAACGGTCGTAGACCAAAGTTTTCTTCGCTTGAAAGGAAATCACTGTTATTTTATACCAAAAATACGACGTTACTTATTGGCCAACCCGATATATTACATGGAAAACATTAAAAAAAACAAAAAAATGAATTCTCATACATTTACCAAAAAAAAATGATTAACATTGAAAATAGCATTTATACATATTATTTTCCAAAATAACTGTATATTCATTTTTCTTTATTGCACTTCTAATTCTAGAAAATTTAAACAGGAAAAGAAACATACCGCAGCTCTTTAGTGTTATCGATTTACAAACGAATGGAAACATTTCCATAGACCTAATAATAATTATACACAATTCTTTTTTCTTTCACATTTGCATGCGAGAACACCCGGTATATTGATTAGCGCATGATGTATTACTGCGTTCTCGCGAATCAGCGAAAAACATTAAGACAAACCGAACCTTCATGAATGAACTGTGCTAATATGGATGTAATAACTGTGCAAGATAAAAAGGAGCAACAAACACGTTCTTTATCGTACAATGAATGCTTAATCTATCTCTGTTCGCTGTGATCAACGCTTTACACACATGAAGCTTCGTTTTTCTTTTTTTTTTTTTTTTTTTTTTTCGAACTTCATTCCTAAGTACTTCATTCCTAATTTTACTGATGCAACGAGAGGAGTGATTGCTTTAAATTGTTTACTTTGGCAAAGTGAGGTAATTCTTCAATTTTATAAAAATTTTGCAAATTCGCCAAATTCTCTTAATGCCGAAACAATACTGAAAACTGTGCTGCACCGAAGAAATAATTGTGAAAATTTTGAAGTAGAGAAAATTGTGTACGGAAAGTATTAAAACGCAGAAAGGGAAAATTTAAATAAAGAATATCGGAAGAAATTCATAAATAGGATAGCCAAAATTTATTTGGAACTTATTTGAGAAAGGGAAGAAGTCATTTTGATGAAATCAGAATTTCGTAAGAATAAGTTTTCTAAGTTATTTGTAGAAATAGCTTGAAAGTAATAAAAAAAACATTCTTACGAAAGTTACTTTTCCAAAACTGACTTGAAAGCAACAAGACAAACTTATTCTTCTGAAGTTTTTGTCTCGTCAAAATTCCTCCATTTTGTTTTTCAATAACCTCCAAACAGGTTTTCTCTTTTAATAATTAAATTTTATATATACGAGACTTTGATTGCGATAAAAACTCTGTAAGTTAATTTTTAAAAATTTTATTCAACTGTTTCTACATTTTTCAACGACAGTGTACATTATACGAATTATTCTACAATATTACTTACCTCTGTGGAATATTATATGGTGGAAAGTTGGTACAACTGTTTCCAAACTTTTTCAAACGATGTACGACACGTATAACTCTATAATATTACTAACCTCTAATATAGACTGTTATATGTATATATATGTAGTACAATTTGGTTTCACTTGTTCTAAAGGTGCAGATGCCCAGACGAAACTTACAAGTGTGTACAAACAGGTGAAAACGTGTCTATGCTCGCGTACGTTTACTATTGCCGTCAGAACACGACATTGGACGATATCGAAGACGAATATTCCAGGTAAAAAATCGTGCGAACATACCTCAGTGTAAAACAGCTTCAACAACCGCGCAGTCATGGTGTCACTGTCGTTCTTCGTCGTTTGTGTCACCATCGTCGAACGAAGCGATCCTCCGTTTTCTCGTTCATCCGGGAACACTCACACATACACACGCACACACACGCCGTATTAACACCACACACTCTCGGGAACGTAACCTATAGAACAGAAGAAATCACGTGATCATAAAAGAAAACCTCACGGGAAATAAATTGACGTGTAAAAATTTCGATTAAATTTCGCGCTCTCCAACTTTGAAACGCTCTACTGGTAAAAACGAAAGCAAACTGCTGGAACGTGATCGAATACCGGTTCGATATTCCTATTCAAATATGGCCGCGTTATTTCGATAATCGAAATTTCTTGTGAGTCAGAATATTGAAAATTGTGTTTACTCGAGATATATTTTAAGACTTGAAACTACCTTTATTCGGTACCTCAAGTATGAATCGGTATTTAATCGATCCTATTTGAAGATTTTGAACGAAATACGATAATTGATAAGCGAGTAGAATGTGAATATTGAACAAAGTATATAGGAAAGCTGCTGCTTGCGGGCGTGAGACACTTTGATTGAATTATTATTATTAAACGCGCTTCTTTCGAATGTATTTTTAGGATAAAAGCTTCGTGCAGTTTATTATCTACAATTCGTGTATAATTTTGAATAGAAACAATTGAAACTCGTTAATTTTACCTGAATTTTCCGGGACGAAACTTCAAACGACGCACCACTCACAATTGGGCACTACGGACTGTTTGCGCGCGAATCTTGCGTTACCATGGAAACCGAAGTCTCGCCTGAGGGCGCTATTTTCAAATTCGTTCGACTCGCAGAACACCGTAAATTTCAATTTTGTTAAAAATCAACAGAAAAGAATGAAAATTATCGATGCAGTATCGCAAGACTATTAACGTAAAACAGGGGACATAATCGGAAAATTGATATGCTGTCGTTCGAGATAGACCAGATGCAAGAAACACGAAACCGTAAGTTAGAGCTGACAAACTGGCGGTCCTTGGGCCGCATGCTGCATCTTCCCCTACTCTTCTGCTCCACTACGTCATAGGGGAACGACCCTCTCCATACCTATTTGACTCTCGCCGTCTTTATCTTGTTCTTGTGACAAACTGGCGACTCGATAGCGTTTTATATTCCGAATATAAAAAAAAAATTACACAATATCATAAAGAGCAGAATTATTCGGTCTTCTCGTAAATAAGGTGTATGGAGAGGTGGTTAGGTAGTTGACTAGTGAAGGAACTGATCGACTAACGATGGGGACCGTGCGGCCCACGGTGGAAAAAAAGTTTGACAGCTCTAGAGTAAGTTATTGACAATGAATTTTAATTGTTTGTAAGATATTATTGATTCGTAAGAAATTATTTAAATCTTTGAAAAGTTATATTTGGAAAACAAATAAGGTCGTCAGGTCTAAAAGAATTTGAGTTTGCATCAAACTTTGATAAGATTCAAAATTCCTATTCGTAACTTTATTTTCAAGCTGTAGCTCGGTGCATATGAACAATGTGCTGTCGTTAACGATTTCGTGTTGGTAATGCTGTGCGGTTTGATGAAGAACACATTTAGAAATTTTCTAATGGAACAATGCACACGAGCGTATAAGCCCGCTCTGATACTACAACCGATCGATAAATGAGAATCTTCATTGACGACGCAGTGTCATTGGCGCGGGATCGCGACGACACTATATCGCTCGTGTGTACTCGGCTTCAAACTTCGACAATTAAACCGGAAGTACGCGAACTGCTGCCATCTGAAATTTGAAAATGTCCGAATATCTCATGTCTTTTTCTGTTTCTCGTGAAAACATGATCTCATGGTTATCAGGAAAACATACTCTACCTTCGTCGTAATCTCATCTATAAACAACATGTAACATTTTTCCAATAACCATGATTCGTTAGAAATATCTTATCAAACTTTCAAATATGAGTCGAGGATCGATTTTCATAATCGATTTATTAAAATATCGGTTACGAATAAGGACGAATTCACTTTTAATTATTCATTAACAATTAATTATTCTTAAGTTAAGGTACACTCAAGGTGGTGTAAAAGTAGCAAGGATAGGTTACAGTATTTCAATAAGGCACTATCCACAATTTTGTACTTAACGAGGAAAATTGTTTCGAATCACGTTTGTATATCATAATTGATTATTTATAATATGCTAAAGGCAATAGTAACGTAACTATATTATGCGTTCATTACGTAACATCATATTCGATTTTTTGCTCAAAGACCAAAGAGGTTTTTACTTGAACAATTATTATTTCAATTGATCTTTCGCGTTTCGTAGATGTATTAATTACACCGTCTTGCAATTGCTTTGCGTCAGTTTCGAATAGTTATCGATAAATATGTAGTAAACCGGAGGTGACGATACATCATCTTGTTTGTTTCCAATTGCATTGCAGTAGATTTACATGGAACTATAAAGTAGAAAAGTAATTATACAGGGTGTCCCCAAAATCGTGATACAACTGACCAACCGATGATTCTACATGCAAAAATAGGTCGAAAATAAAGAATAACTGTTTTTTCGTTTAAGGCTTCGTTTTCAATAAAAGTGAGTTTGAATGTTTAATTATACAAACACGAGCAGAAACAGAAGTTTTATACCTCGAAACTTACAATTAACACACGAATACCTGACGAATTTTCAAATTAACTTTTTTCGAAAACGAAGTCTTAAATGAAAAAATTATATCTTTTTTTCGGCTTATCTTTGCATGTAGAACCACCACCCAGCTGGTTGTACCACGATATGGGGACACTCTGCATAGAACAATTTTTCTACACGTTTGCAGCATTTGTCATACTATTAAAAGTCCTTTTGAAATTTGTAATATTTAATTCATGTGAAAAATTTTTTTCTTTAGACTATATCTAAAATTGAATTAACTTCGAATGATCCTATTGTTTTAAAAAAGCGTGTAGAAAATAGTACAGGCAATGTATTTGTATGCAGTATTTCACTTAATATTTAATAAACAGGAGGGGTAAATTATCTATAGTTATACAACGATTACCAATGTTATCATTTTTAATAAAAATAAGCAATGTTGCCGGAAATGTTATGTTATACTTTCTATCCTTTCTTCTTTCCTTATCAACTTACCCCAATTCATAAATTATTAAATTTTTTTTATATTCTTATATATATATATATATATATGTATAAATGTGTAACGTAAATATATCTTTAAATTATTATCTCGAGTAATAAAATTGCCTGTACATTCACTTTTGATACATGGACATACACTTTTAAAATTAGCAATTTCTCGATAAAATACACTATCATCATCAATAGTCACAAGTAGTCGAGCATCGGAAGACCGCATCTCTCTTTTTCTTTGTTCACCTTTGATAAGATACACAGTTTAATGTACAACTGCAGTATACTGCATAACTGAGCAGCACGGTGTGTGTTTTGTATGAATATGTGTAAAATAGCATCTTTTCAAAATTATCCACAAAAACAGAGACGCCAAGGCTTCAACGAAATCTGTATAATTAGGATAAAAATGTATTCAATTGCGTTTATGCATACATTATTATCCATCGATGTATTTTAAACATTATTTTTGCTCGAATGTCTTGAAAATCACAAACAATTCGTGTTACAAAATCAATTCGCCTTTTTGAATCATTACATACAGTCTCAATGTTACAAAATAAATAAATTTAGTTTTATTTTTAACCACGCACGAATTTCTCTATTCAGTTACTATTTTTCCATTTTTTCATTGAAAATTTTAAGAACAGAAAATTTGATGATTTGCAAGTAATATTGATTATATAAAAAATTGATTGTTATATCTTTATTTGGTTCGAACATATATATTTCATGTATCGATATGCGAATAAAAAATAATGGATAAAAAGTTACGTATTTAAGAATCACATAAAATAATAACTATAGCCATGTATCTCGTGCGTGGTGAATCAATGCTTTCTTCCAATGAACACCGCACTCTGATGTTGTCAACAGTTTTGCACTGTACAGGAACACCGCCACATTTTTTAATATTTTACAGATTCTATCGAGTAGCCTAAAGATCAGGTAAAAAATAAGGCCTAGTGTTTGTTTTCGTTTCATATGTGTATATACGTACATATGCACTCGATTATCGCACATCCATACATACATGCACATGCATATGTACAAGCATGTATTTATACATACAATCATATGTATATATACTGAATTCAAGAGAACGGAGACTTCGATCGTGACATTCGTAAGAAAAATAAGAGAAGTAAGTTATTAAAAGCTCAGAATTAAGGATATTTTACATACATGTATATAAAGTTATTATTCAAAAAAAAATGTACAGTTTTAGCCAATTTCTTTTGACCCAATATTCTGTTACGTTTTAGCTATAAATAAAAGGACATGTTTCAATATTAGAACATACTGTAAATCGGAATTTCAATAGTATCTTTTTTTAACCGCTAATAGTTATTTAAACGTTTCAATGACAATCCGTGTAAGTCTATAAAAATAAAATGCTTAATAAAATAAAATTGGCTGAATCTGCAAATACGCTTACAAACGACAATTATATTACGATAGAATATTTTTCCTAAATCTTTTAAGATATTACATAAAGTATCAAAAGTTTTATTTTAACTTTACTCTCTTATGTAAAACCTTACCATGGAAAACCTGTATCTAATTTTATTCAAAATCAATTGATTTTTGGAAAGGAAACATTACATTTAAATATCTTATATTACCTGATCACAAGCTTATCTTTAATACAACTGGAAATATCGCTCGTTACAACCATTCCTCATTCTCAACATTCGCGATTTGGTCATTTTAATTTAGTATTTTAAATTTAAAAAAAAAAAACTACATTAAATCCCTACGGAAACAACAATTTCAACAAGTCAGCGATATTTCCATTTGCATCAGATTTATTCATACCTGTACAGTTAGAGAACCAAATCTTGTCAAAATTCAATGTAATAAATGTAATACACAATATATAAGACGATTCGTTATAGTCCTCGATACTTTCTTTTCTTAACGACCACTTCTGCACCTTCTTCGTTCGCGAATGAACTTCGTTGGCAAAATAAGACATTTTCTATTCGTTCGCACGCGCAAGATAGCTCAAGAATCAGTCTTAATTTTGCCCTTAACCGTGGATAACTCTCTTAACTACTTATAGAAACGAGCTCTTATTAATAATCAATGTATTCTCGAAGAATGGTAAAGAAATTATAAGAGACGTAAGATTATACACATGGTTCCGTCAGAAGATCAGGTTGCAGGCGTTCCACTCGATAACGATTGTATTGTCGGTAAGGTGATCTCGTTTGATCGTTATCCGTGATCACTCGTGTCTTATGAGGAATTAAGTTTTCGTAACGTCCCATCAACCAATCTTGACATAATCGGTGCTGTACGTCTGCGACGTTCTTAGATGCCCAGGACGCCAGCCACTGATGGAACTTTGTATTCAGGTGTTTTGTCACAACTGGATGACACTATTGAGGAAACAAAAAAATAGAAAACAACAGTAATACGAATATTTCAACTAGTCTAAAATTTCAAAAACAATTAATTTACAACGAAAGAGAAACATACCTCTCTGGCACGGCTGAATGAATTCTGTTTATACAGGAATGCTTCCTTGCTAGCAACATAAAACATTTGGTAACTGTTGGGATTAAATCTGCATTGCGTTTCGTCAGAATTAATAATGTCAGACGTATCCCCAGAATCTGTTAATCTTAAACCAGGAGGCCGTTTTAGGAGTGCATCTACAGAGTCCAACGATTTCTCTTTATCTGTCGACCTAGAAGGAAGAATTTAGAAATCATTAAAATTATTCTGTCTGTGTAAAAACAGCAATTAGAAAAATATTCGAAGGAAAGTTTGATAAAACTACTTACTCTGCACCTTTCTCAGGATGATTAGCGTTAGGTATGGATGCTGACATCATTCTCGCTGCTCTTTTCCTCCACTGTCTAACATTACGGTAAAGAAACACAGGCTTACTTCCTGCCAAGATTCTGCCTACAGAACTCCAACCATTTCCATCCATCTACAACAATCGTTTCATGTTAACTTTTTTAACAGATACAGCTTAACATTGTGGGTACAAAATTTTCGTGATATTGTTCATTATAATATCGTGCATAATTAGTACTAAATTTCAATATACTTAAGTTAAATAGTTCTTATTGTAATCGCAAAATTTTTGCAAGATAACTTATTACAATAATATTACACGTCCTATTAAATTACAAACATTCTTCTTTCATATTTTAACAGTTTTCCTTAAAATAACACTAATAAAAGAAAGAACATTGAACAACAAATAAAAATAAATAAAAAATAAATACTATAAAATGTCTTAAAAAAATATTGTTTTTTACATTAAACAAATAAAACTTTTATAAAAAGACTCTTTTAAAGAAAACTTAATTTTCCTATCTTCACTTTGTTTTTTCTTTCTTTCTTTTTTTTTTTTAAACAAGTTACTTGCCATTATGTGATTGTCATTATACACTGACACATACTTAATCATACGTATCAAAAGATTGTACTGCATAAATAAAATTAATTAATAATTCACTTGGAGAAATTTGGATAGGTAAAGGGAGATTTTTCTATAGAACACAACCAAAAAGTGTTAAATGTTTTGCAGGGGGATTTTATGCGTGAAAAAAGCAGTAAATGAAAGTAAATCACGTTTAAAATGATGTAAATGATTTACAATATTGTTTTACTATTTTCTACCACATTATAGGTACTATATACGAGTAACTGTACAATATTTAACAATGAAGTGCTTAATTGTAAGAAATATTGAAAGATTTTCATTTGGTAAATAACAGGAATACTTAACAGCAACTTTGTAGTACCAATAATACTTAAGAATAATAAAACACATTTTTTCCCCAATAACTTTGTATGAGGAAAATCAACGAAAAACACAAGATGAAAAGTGAAAGAAATGCAACTTTGAGATAACATTTTCAGTTCAATTTTCGCTCTATGCACATTTCATAGACGACGAGTGAACCATTGAAATAGAAGAAAGCACAACCAAAAAATAAAAATCGACGCATTAACATAACTCGAGTTGAGCAATTATTTGAACAATTTTTAAGCTATGAATGCTTTTGACTATTTTAAAATACAAATGTGTTAGAAAAGAGATATATTACTCTTAATATATACATATACATATTCATCGCCGTGTTTTGATATTCAAAAAACACACATGATATAATTAATATCGAGAAATAATAAAAACAGAACAAATATCGAAGCTAAATGAGAAGAGAAAATATCTAAAATAAAAGTCAGATGAGGATAAACAAAAATTTGTAACATCTGAATTAAATTATCTGTACGATCAACAAGTATTTAAAAAAAAATACACTGTTTCAAAGAAAAACATATCATTCTTTTGCTTCTCCTTTCTTTCTCTCTCTCTCTCTCTCTCTCTTTTTTTTTGCTTCATTCTTTTGTGAAAAGCACAGGCAAAGAACTTTTTCTCTTTCTTTCTTTCTTTTGCTCTTACAAAAAATTAATATCATCGGAGAATCAAAGTAATAAATTTAGTGGTACAAAATGATGTTAGACAATAATGTTTAAAAGCATTGTTCATGTATTTCAATATCTCTCTTCTATACAATATTATTGTTTATCTATTATTATATGTATATTCGTTTCATATACAG